AAGATTATTGCTTTTGAAATTTAAAAAGAAAAACTTCCACAACAAAGTATTGATTACCATATTAGTATTAGGTAATGAGCTGTGATCACAAGTTTTTGTCCAATCACAAGGTTGGCTGTAACTTAAAGGCAGTAATCTCTATCACAACATCCAGTTGTAAGACATTTGGCATCAGCTACATTGTTGACCTTTCCTCGACCTTCTAGCCTACTTTAGAATTTTTTGAGAAACAATATCCAAGTGCACTGTCATTTTCCTACCAGAAAAAGCCTCTCTTTTCTAAACAAAAACTCCACATAGCGAGTTTATAGTCATATTTATTTTAAAATTAAAGTGCCGATAAAAAGAAAACAGCAATTTCTGAAGATCTGATTAGTAATTGTCTTCAAAAAAAAAAATCTGAGAACAAGGGTAATTTTCCTGTCAAAATTTCTCTCCAATTTATTTTAAAAAATCACCCCATTCTGGTAAAAATGAACTTAATCCAACTTCTAATAGCTCATAAACCCTTGCATTCAAATATAGAAAGCACAGCTTGTTTAGTGGGCAAATTTCATCCCCTTTAAAAAGAGTTTAAGGGAGGCTTTAAAGCTTCGAAAGTGGCATCATAAACTATTTAATAATCAAAAAACTTTTTAAAGACCTGTAAGTCTGCTAGGGTTGACATTAACCCTCACCAGGAGGCGCGGAGCGGGTGGGGGGTTACTGAGGTAGAACTAAAACCCAGGCCTCTACTTTGAACCCATTCTGAACATCACAGGAAGCTTCCAGACTCAAAAGGAAGTCTTGGGTTAAAAACTATGTTCTAATAGCTACCTGTGACTCTACTGTACATGATTACATGAAGGGGGAGTAAGATTTTTATGATAGTCACAATTAGTATAGTATCAAGTAAATCATTTTTAGGCATTCCTGTGCATAAAAGACCCTAGTTAAATTATGCACACTTACTGTTTAAAAAGCACTCTTCTTGAAAATTGCCATGACCTTAAGTAAAAAAATTAATTCATATTAGATCCTATAATTGAAATTAAAAATTTCAGAAGACTGTTTTGACATACCATTCTCTAAAATGCAAGTTTATTAAAATGAAGACAACAGAATGAATGCATATTTTTATCTTATAATAAAAACTGAACAAAGGCCTTTCAGTCACCTATTTTATAAATTAACTTTTAGTTCAAAGTCTCATCATTGATAACCACACATTACAGTAATAACTACCAACAATAAAATGTTTTCCAAGCACTTTTGTCATATTTCATACTCACAATAACCCTAAACATTAACACATTATCACCATTTTACAAATAAGGTTAAAAATTGATTTATCACCCTTGCCCAACCTACACCTTTGGCCACATTACAAAAAAAAAATTAGAAAAGAATTTCTGATTGCAAATATTCACATAACAAAGTAGTCAAGTTGACACAATCTTGCACATATATTACTGGGTCCTAAGCACAGACAACTTTACAACTTACAAAACACTTGTACCCTGTCATCTCATTTGTTCCCACAACAGTTCTGTTAAGGGATTATTATCACTACCCTATGTTATAGGCTTCAAGGCACAGAGAGTTTAAGTGAAGTCGCTCAGGTTTTTATTCTTCATTCTTTTTTCCATACACTATCTTTCTTCTCTATGATTAATGAAACATTACCCCCACAATCTGAGTATCATGCAATAAAAAGATGAAACATAGTAGAGGTCCTAAACTAGCATCTTTCATCAGTTACATACTTCACCAAGTTAATAGAGTTAACTAGTAACCTAGTTATTTTGATGCCAACCACACAAATACAAATTGTACGAGTAATTTTTATGAAGCTGGTATGTTTGCAAGGGAATCACCTAGATTCTACTTGTACTGGCCAGAAGACCAAACCCAAAGTCAGCTGTAAGTGCAAACTATCTCCCTAAGGTGTATAGGATGTGTACATTAGTCTTTCACAACTTAGTGATTGTTTCAAATATGCATTATCTGCCAATAAAGCCTTCTAGTCATTTGCTTCAGAGTAGGTAGTGAGATTGGCTACTTACACACACTTTTCTACAAAAAAAAAAAATCTACCTAAGTTTAGCAAATACGTGTACAGCCAAACACACAGAGCTGTGCTTAGCAATAATTTGAAAAATCACTTTTAAAATAGTTATCTTGGCTTTGCATTTGTGAACACTTCAGGCTTCTCAATGTCCACAAGAAGCAAAATTATTCTACTTCATCACTTCTACTTCTTTCTATAATATCTACCTTTTCCCTTCCTACTTAAAAATTTCCCACTTCGCTCAGTGACTTGCCCCACCTTTACTTTTTAGCAGCCCTATCTTCTCGTTAGTAGGATTTCAGACTTCATTCAAAGTCTTACCTAGCCATCTCTAATTACATGGCAATCTTCAATGGAGAAAAAAGCCTCCACCCTCCTCTACATCTAGTGAGGAGCACAAAGTGCCTCTGAGTAGTTTTTGTGACTGATAAAAAGTCACAATCCCTCCCTCCAATGGGAATAACTAGATTCCCTCATGGGAAGGTTTTAAGAAATAACCAAAACAAGATGTTTAAAGTGCTTTATAAAGTAACAAATATTAGCATATTGCCATATTTTCAAGTTGATTTTTTTCAGCTATTCATTCTTAAAGCTATTAGAGAAAGCCCTCAACTGTTCTGCTGTATTATGGGTGCCAAGAAAACAGAAAAGGATGGGAAGAAATTTACATGAGTAATGAATTCACTGGGTGATCAATTTCAGTTATTCTATATTCCCCACTACCTCCCTAAGTTAAGCAATGCTCAAGAAAGTATACAACACACCTGAACTTTGAAACCCCAAAATAGCTATACAGACTACAATACCATTACACTTTAAATAAGAAAAAAAGAAAGCTGTTTCCCAGCTCCCACCCCAGAGAAAAACCTCCTTTGGTAAAGCTGTAAATTACCATTACGAAAAAGTTTAACTTCTATTCTCATCCCTTACATTTCTGGCTCTTAAATCTGAGAGCTGCCAAATAGCTCTGCTTAGAGTTGTGTGTCAAATATGTCTTCCAATGGAGCATAAATAATTTTTTTAAATATATGTTGCTCCTAAGTATCACAATTTTTAAAATCTCTTGAACTATAGCACCAAACTAGGTGACAATCTCCTGGGTAGTTGCTCTCAGCAGCTGCTTCATATCCAAAGATATATATATAAATCACAATTTTGGGGAAATTATAACAATTTCAAGAAATTACTTTTACTTGTGAATATTCAAAAACTTTACCCTAAAGTTATACACAACAACAAATGAAAAAGGAATATTATCCAAAACAAGTACACTCAACTTAAGGCCAGAATCTCAATTTAAACTCATGGGTTACTTTCCTTGTAATAAATACCTCTTTGCTGTAAAACAGATACTCCTTCTTCTCCCCCAGACCCGAAAAAAATAATTTTAAAAGATTTCAAAACACTTACTAAATAGGTTTAAACACATCCACTTAACTCCTATCATCCTACGAAGTCATTAATATATGACTGTTGGTGCTTTATATAAAGATCCTACATCCCTGAAAAGAGTAAGCATTTCTCTTAAAAGAGACACTAATCATCTTCCTAAAACTACTGGAATTGCACCTGACCTGCCCCAACTTAGCTCTTCAATTCGACTTCTCCAGAAAGCAGAGGGAGACAAAGAGTCTACAGTCAAAAACAGACAACTCCCTACTCATTCACAGCCTATTTGCTCTTACTTTAAACACAAATCTCAACAAGTTTATTTGGTTTTTAATGTAGTAATGGGTGACTCAGAGCAAATTAGCAGGGAGAGGAATTGTTTTAGGTATTCATTTGTCAGGAATGACTATTAAGTAAAGGCTAACTCCAAAAGGAAAAAAAAAAAAGACTAAAATCTGTGAGTAGCAGACTGAGCATTTAATAAATGGTGAGCCCTGTTCCTCAAGTCTTAAGAATTCCACCTCTTCTCAGAGTACCACAGCATAAAAACAATGTTCACAGCCATGACTATGTCATAAAGCTGTGCTTCTGATTAGGCAAGTACATAAAACACGTTGAAATTATTACCTTAAAAAGAAGGACAGACAGACAGATACACACACACATCCCTTAGGATCCAAGAGATAAAGTAACTAATCCTACCAGTATTCCAAATATTTGAGAATTTCAACCAGAAGAGATCTAAGACAAAACTTCTCTTTCCTTTTTTTCTGTGTAAACAGTTCTCATATGCTTTGGTTGGCAGATAATAATAAATAAATTTTATTCCCTGTTCTTTTTCTTTACCAAAATTCTACTATTTGTCATCATCACCTCTGACAACATGTTCAACACGTCCAAGGGCTACCGTGAATGAGGAAATGTATTTCACATAAGCTATTAAAGTGATTCTTCATAGTTAATATCTTTTCAAAATATTTTACATTTCATCTCGCAAGATCTTAATCAGATTTGGGAAGAGAAAATTCTGAAAAACACAAGTTCCTATTTAATGCAGTTAACAGACTGTTACCTATGCCATGGCTGTACTGACCTAACTGTAAACTTTTATTATTTACAAGCCTTTGAAAAACGTCATGCCTTTAAGTACCATCGAAATTCTCAATCAGAATTTCATGCGTACAATTCACACTACAGTGAAAGATCAAGTGCTAAACTCCTAAAAATAGCGGTGCTATGATTGCGAGGGACACCACGCTCTGCTGCCAACGCCAAGGCGTCTTCGAAGGGGCACGGGCACTCCTGGTACAAATACAGTAGGAACTGAATTCAGCAAAACCCGGGAGCCAAGGGTCAAGTGACATCGCACCAGACACGTTTACTTTGATCGGGCAGTCAAGGGGTCATACCCCAGTTTAGCAACTAAATCTAGACTCGCAGCCTAACCACGCGCAACCATGGGTTCGGGGCCGAGGGGCCCCGGGGACGCGGGCTCCCGGGCACAGCCCTGGCCTGCGGACTGCGGCTCTCTCCTGGAAGGGTGTCCGGAGAGGTATCCGACCTGACAGTGAGGTGTCTGCTCTCCCCGCGCGCTCCGCATCCTCCTCCGCGGGGTTCGTCATTCCCTAGTTACAGCTTCCACCCTTTCTGCACGAGGGACAGGGAGTGCCAGACCGGTGACAGGTCGCCCTGCCTGTCCTAGCTCTCTGGTACTGAGCTCTGCAGCCGCTAACCTCCCCGCGCACGGGTCTTCGGCCCCGGCTCACGGCCGCCCCCTCAGGTCAGGGCGGACGCAGCTCCCAGCCACGCGGCGGACGGGCAGGGGGCCGGACCCGGAGCAGACGCGCGCACCTCCCAAGCATCCGACAGCTGCGGGAGCTGCGGCCCGCTGGGCGCCCTTTCAGGACGCGCGCGGTAAGAGCACGGGGCGCGGCGGGGGCTAGGCCCGGCGGCCCGACGCGGTGGCAGGTGGAAAGCCGAGCCAGCCACGGAGGACGACCCCGCCGCCCCTGGCCAGAGCCCGCGAGCCCGAGCGGCCCGCGCTCTCTGCCCACCCGGGCCCTACGGCCTCCGTCCCGCCGGCCCTTACCTAGGAAGGTCGTGGACGAGACGTGGTTAACCCCGGTGCTCGAGTCGCTGGTCCGCCGCCGGCACCGCAGCCCCGGGCGCGGCTGCTGCCTCGGCGATACCTCGTCCCTCTCCGCCATCTTGTACCGATTTAAAATTAACTCCCCACTGACGTCAAACGCCGCCGCCGCTTTATCAACCTCCCGGGAGCTGGCTGGGCGCTGACGGGTCCTAGCGCCGCCCTCAGCCAGTTGCCTCCACGCCCTCCCCTGTCACGCCCCTGGGCGCCCTCGCTCCGCCTCCGCACCCCCGGCCTGCGGGGTTCTCCTGGCCTTTCCCTTCCAGGAGCAATTGGGCGGCTCTCTTGCCAACACTGTCTCACACCCCTACTTCACTGAGATCAGTACCACACCCCCTTAGCACTGGGCTGGTGCGTATAAACCCAGTAGGGATCTCCTTAGACCCAAGTCCGTTCTTCCCAATTCAGTAAAACAATGCTCTTTACAGCTCTTCTCCCTAATAGTTGACTGACTCCTGTCCTACACGTGAGGCTGCTTTCCACTCCTTTCCCTCCTTCCTTTTTATCCCCACCTCCTCCACAGCTCTTCCCTCCTCCCTCGCTACCATCCTGCCCCCACTACCCAGCAATTGCTTGTGCCCTGCTTTTCCTCGTGATCTTTTCTCACACAAGTTCCTAACGTTGCTTCCCCTCCACAGACCATCCTACGGTTTATTTGCGCACAGCTCCCATCCGCTTATGAGGTCCTCCCCCTATGTTCTTAGCTGTGCATACCCTTGCCCTCCAGCTACTAGCATCTTGCAGGGGCAAGCCACAAATCACTCAAATCAGAAAATGAATTACAGCAGATTCTTTTCTAACTGTGATGAACTTTCTTGTAGGGACCCAGTGACCTCCTGTAGAAAGTTCATGTCAGTTTTAATTTTTTTAATTGATTTATACAAAGAAAGGAAGGGGGAAAGAGAGAGAGATCAATTCATTGTCCCACTTATTTATGCATTCATTGGTTGATTCCTGGATGCGTCCTGACCGGGAAGGAACCTGCAACCTTGGCATGTGATAAGGATGCTGTTATCAACTGAGCTATCCATCAGGGCCTCCAGTCACTTTTACAATAGCCTATGGAGACTTCTATGATACATGATCGCTAATCTTTTGGATTTTTACCATAGCAGCAGCTGAATTAGAAATTCCTTTTCTCTGGGACAAACTAATAGTTGCCAGAGAGGAAGGAGGGTTGGGGAACTGGGTGAAAAAAGATGAAGGGATTAAGAAGTACAAATTGATAGTTACAAAAGAGTCATAAGGTTGTAAAGTACAAAAGAGGGAATGTAGTCAATAATATTGTCATATCTATATATGGTGCCAGGCGGGTACTGAAAATATGGGTGGGAATACTTTGTAAAGTATGAGGTCTATCTAGAAAATATTCGTCCATATAATATGAAAAGTAGAGACATTTATTGGAGAAGATACAAGAAACATTGTACATAGGACAATGACCCCGTGGTCACCTTTTAAGTAGGCACCTTGGGACCCCGTCACATTTTCCTTAATCTCGTTAACAATCTGAAATCTCTTCCCTTTCAGAGGTTTTAGTTTTGGGAAAAGCCAGAAGTCACAGCACCAATATGGGCTGTAGAGAGGCTGAGTCACCTGGGTAATTTGATGTTTCACCAAAAAACTCTGTACGAGACATGATGCATGACGAGGTTCAATGTCGTGATGAAGCTGCTAATCACCAGATGCCCACAGCTGTGGCCTTCTGAATCATCCAAATAGTTTTTCTGGAGGAATGTTCAATCTTAAAGCAGAGTTTTTTGCCGAATCATTACTCTACTTGCTCAGTCATTTTGAATGTGATGGCCACACGGTACAGATGCTCACTCAACAGCATCTACTGTGTCCAACTGACTACTACAGTGAAGTCGACATTGTTCACCCACGTGCATTCCAGTCCACTCTCCTTGGCTGCCAGGTTACATCAATGTCATGCAAACTGTTTTTGTTATATTAACAATGGCTGGACTTTTTCCAGACATACTTTTGTATATGACTATCTAACCACTATATTGTACACCTGAAACTGATATGAAACAATATTGAATGTAAATAGTAATTGAAAAATCTGTCCATGCACAAAAGAAAGGAGAAAGGCCATTAGGCCATTTGCAGACCCAACAAGATGGTAATTTGCAAGCCAGGAAGACAGCCCTCACTAGAAACCAACACTAAATGGCACTTCCATCTTGCACTTCTTACCTCCAGAACTGTGAGAAAATGCCTACTGTTTAGGCCACCCCATCTGTGGTATTTTGTTATGCCAGCTCAAGCTGACAAATGAAGAGCGCACCATTAATCCAGTTACCATAGTGGGCAACTGAAGTGTAATTTTGCTGGGAAACCTATCTCTACCCAAGGGGTGAAGAAGCTGGAATGTCTGCAAATCAACTCCATAACACAGTGGCTGATGCCTGTTCTCATGGATTATCAACTTCTCTAAAGATTCATCTAGACACAGAGTAGCTTCCTGAAATTTAAGGGCGGAGTGGGGAGGAGACCTCACAAACACATGTGGATGTCACAGGTGGAAACTTGGTGCTGTTGGTGAGAGGACTGACTGAGGTCTGGTGTCTTTGAAACCGCATATAATAACTTACTCCAAGGCAGTTTCAGAAGATCTCTGGGACATCTGACCTTATTCAAATCCACATCTGCTTTTCCATCTGCGTCTCACTTCCTTCTCCTGACCCTTTCACCTAAATACAGCAACCTCTCAGTAGGGCATGAGGTATGTGTTCTGTACCTTAATCACACCAAACTTATAACAGTAAATTATTGCAAAAGCCCTTCATACAAACTCTGAAAATCAAATGCAAAACTCTATGAAGAAGAAATAGAGAAAGAAAGAGAATAAAGAAAGACAGAAAGAGAAAGGAAGGAAGGAAGGAAGGGAGGGAGGGAGGGAGGGAGGAAGGGAGGAGGGAGGAAAGAAAGAAAGAGAGAGTTAAAAAAAAAAAAAAGAAATCCCTTTGCTCTGGTGAAGAAAGGTGAAACAGGTGTCCAGTCACTGTCTTGATCAGGTCTTCTCCCAAGTCTGAAACTTTCAGCCTTCGTCCTGCCTGATCTCTACCAGAAAAGTATCAGTGTCATCAAAACTCGCAGGGTTCCATTCTATGGGTGTTTTTGTAGGGCTGCTTGTTTATTCACCTGTTTTCTGTCTATGGAAAGGGGTTTGGGGCTCCTCCTGGACTTTCTAACTCCCTGCCTCCTGGTTCAGTACCCCTGGAGCAGCCAAAGCCCCAAGCCATAAATATTGCTTGATGATGGAGTTTCTTCATAAATTCCCTATGTGGCATCTATTTAAAATTGTCCACAGTCTGCTTTATAAAAAGTATAATCTTGGGCACGAGAGGAGATGCAAAGATGAGTAATTTTGCTGTCAGATAATGAATTTCCAGTTAGAATTAGTAGTTAATTTAGCACCTCATCAGGGACACCCCTCAAGAAAGTTGGTCAGTTGGTGCCCTAACTGGTGTCCTTTCTACTACCATAGTCCACCCTTTATCTACGGGAGGGGGACATTCCAAGGTCCCCAGTGGATACCTGAAACCATGGATAGTACCACACCTTATACATACTATGTTTTTTCATATACGTGCATACTTATGATAAAGTTCCATCTATAAACTAGGGACAATAAGATATAAACAGATTCAATAATAAAATAAAACAGTTATAATAATATATTTTAATAAAAGCATTATGAATGGCTTTGGGGCCATTATTAAATAAAATAAGGGTTCCTTGAACACAAGCACTGTGATACTATGACAGCCAATCTGATGAGCTGGACCACTACTTAAGTGACTAGGAGGACAGTATGGGATGTCATCACAACACTCAGAAGGGCGTGCAAATTAAAACTCATGAGTAGTTTCTTTCTGGAATGTGCTATTTAATATCTGTGGACCATAGTTGACTGCAGATAACTAAAACTGTTGAAAGCGAACCACAACCAAGGGGCAACTACTGTATTAGATACTGTTTATCTCATGGGCCACCACGTCTGTGCCCTGGGCAGGTCCACAGCTCCCGACTCCAGTGCAGTGTACAGAAGCCAGTTGTAAGTATATAGTCAAGAGATTAAGCATTATCTCATGGTCACGTCAAATCTGTATGCTTAAAACACCTTCTGTTTTCCCCTTCAATTTCTTATCACAGTGAAACTTCAGTTCTAGTACATTTACATCCAACAAGTCTCTCTTCACACCTCATACAGACCCTGCCACCACAAAAACATGAGATTCAGAAGCTGAAAGATTTGTTTTGTATAGGGTATATCTCCAGCACCTAAACCAATGCCTAGTACATAGAAGGACCTTGAAAAATACCTGTGGGAAGCAAGGAAGGAAATGGAAGGAAGGAAGGAAGGAAGGAAGGAAGGAAGGAAGGAAGGAAGGAAGGAAGGAAGGAAGGAAAGAAGGAAGGGAGGGAGGGAGGGAGGAAAGAAGGAAGGAAGGAAGGAAGGAAGGAAGGAAGGAAGGAAGGAAGGAAGGAAGGAAGGAAGGAAGCAAGGAAGGAAAAAGGAAGGAAGGAAGGAAGGAAGGAAGGAAGGAAGGAAGGAAGGAAGGAAGGAAGGAAGGAAGGAAGGAAGGAAGGAAGGA